GTGTTAAACCTCACTTGGAACTTCAGCAATTTCATTGAAAACCAAATCCACGGGGGCAGCTGGTCTTGAGTTCGAGCCTAACAGTATCTGGGATGTGAACCCACTTGAAGACAGTAACCAGCTATCCCAAAGGTGATGCTTTCCTTGAGCAGGAATTTTACCTTCATCAGTGACTACAGGCATGAAAGCAGTGTGTTCACAGAAAGCCCTGGTTTGAGTCTGAAGGATTTTCTTGTTTTCTCTCCATTTTTTTCAAAGTCCAAATTGCCTATAAGGTAGGTGTGTGTATGTATACAAATATACATACACATCTTTGGTCTATTCTTTCATTTTTCCCCTGGTGTGCCACGGTCCTTCTCGGGGCGGCGTGTGTGACAGAATGGGATCCGAAGCCGTTTAGCAAATGCTGCCCCTCTTGCCTGGTGCTAGCAGTGGGAGGAAGACCGATGCCCAGCCAGTTCTCCTGGTGAGCTGTTGCATCCAACTGAAGCTCCTTTGGGATTTGTCGTGTTGAGATGGGGGACCTTGCAGAGTCCCACCTGCAACTGGAAGCCTAGTGTTGTACTCCAGCTGCACGTGACAAATTAAGAATAGGAAATGTGTACAGGACAGGATGGTCTCCAATTCCCCGACTTCCGAGCTAGGTAGCAATGGCAATGTGCGAGTTGGATCTGTGCTCTCGGGCTGGTGATGCTATGGATGCTTGGGATACAGCCCTACTGCGCCGAGGGGTGTTTCTGGTCCATCTGCAGGCTCTGGCAGAAGCCCTGGAACAGTTCTTCTACCTCAAACACATTTTGACATCAGCACAGAGTAGATTTTTTATTTACTTATTTTTCAGTGTAAGAAAGATGTATGTTGCAGAAGAGGGTGACAGCTTTCCCTGAGGATGGCCGCTCTGTAGATGTGTTTTTTGGGATGTTTTTGGGCCCAATATCCTTTGCTTTGAGGTTTAACCAGTGCCTGCCAGCCCTGCCTCCTTTTGTAAGTGCCATCTCTGCTCCCTGGCAAGGAGACGGGCGCACTTGCTTTTCTCTGGATCACACTTGCATCGCATCAACCTCCAAAATATTTCTCCTCTCCTGCGCACAGGTCCATGGCCAAGCGTAGCCATCTGCAGCCCCATCTCTCTTCAAGAAACCCACAGTATGTTCGGCTTTGCCACAGAAATACACGTGGTCCCCAGAGAGCATCTCCCTGAGATCTGCTCCATCCTTGCAGCAAAGCTGAATCATCAGCAGGGTCCTCTTGGTCTAGAGTTACAACTGCCCGCTTGTCCCCCCCCAAGGAAGCTCTGAAGCCTGCGCCTTTGCACCGCTGTTGGGCAGCGGTTGCTGCAGCTCTCTGGATATTCCCTGTCCATCTTGAAGCATAAATCTGTGGGTGCTCGTGCTGCTCCGTGTCCATCATGGGCTTTGCTGGTGGCATGGGCAGCCCCGTGGGATTTCGTTTTGCTTTTTGCCCGCTGCTGCGTGGGTTTAACGCTCGTTGCGTTTGGACTGTGGGACTGGGGGCTCGAGTCGATGGTGCAGCCTTGGGAAGGTTGGAGTCTGGCGTATGCACCGTGTGCCCCTGCCCTTGCCATGGTGCTCAGGCAAAGACGATGGCTACTGAGCAATTGGGGTGAAACTGGGTGAAATGGGGGCAAAATGTAAGAAATTAAGGGTTTGGGTAGCGGATACAAGCCTAAAGCATAGCTGTGTATTTCTGTGTGCAGTGCAGAAGGAAAAGAAGCAGCGATGTGTTTATAAACTTTAGGTATTGTAAAAGGTGGTTTTGCCAGCATATATAGGAAGGCTGGTTTCTGAAAGTGATTTAATGCCACAGGTTTTATTGCTGGGTTTAACCCAGTCCTACTTTCCGTGAAGGAAAACACCCGGTTCTTTCCCTGCCATGATGCTCTCGTCCCCGCTACGCGTTACCTGCACATGGACAAGTCCTTACCCTAAACACTTTTTAAGGATGGCTTCCGTGCTGACGATGAGCTCTGGTCCTGGTCCCGAGGGTGTCCCCCCGGCCCGGAGGTTCATCCGCCGCCTCCCGAGCAGAGCGAGCGCTTCCAGCTTCGCAGCAGGACCTCAAGGAGAGCCAGATGATGGAGCAGATGGCAGATGACTAATTTGGCCAAGTTAGATGAGTGGAAATTGTTTGCTTTAATTGCTTGTCAAGTCCGGTACCTACATTATAGTTAAGGACCAACTATTTCCTCTCAAAATGGAACAAAACGAGGAGAGAGAACACGTGCGCATGTGTCTATGGATGCCTGCAAGGGGCAGGGGGGAAAGGCAAAGGGAGGTATCTAGACAATATAGTTTTATATGTAGTGCTGGCAGGGAAGAAAAAAGACATTATTGGCAAAGTCTTTCGTAATAATTTCTTCCCCTTTAGTGGTGGCTGCATAATTTAGCTCCTGCAGGACACTTTGGCTTGCTGTCCTTCCTGATTGTGGTACCTGCTCCACAAGGAAACTGGAGGAGAGGCAGTGCTGGAAACGTTAACGCAAACCCCAGCCGTGACTGCGCTCAGTCCTTGAAAGGTTGTGGCATAAATCTAGCCCACGCTTCAATGCTGCTTCGTGGTCGAGCGCTGCCTCACCTGCAATGTGCTTGGTGTAGCGTAAAGTGAGCAGATTTTGGAGAACTTAGTGCAAGGGCGGGTGCCGCCAGCATAATCGCATGTGCGTTGTCCTCCCTTGTGAGGATGCCATTGCTGTTAATATTTACTGCGGGGTCCCTTGTGAGACAGGGAGGGACCCACTTCAATGCTGCTTTGTGGTCGAGCGCTGCCTCACCTGCAACGTGCTTGGTGTAGCGTAAAGCGAGCAGATTTTGGAGAGCTTAGTGCAAGGGCGGGTGCCGCCAGCGTAATCGCACGTGCGTTGTCCTCCCTTGTGAGGATGCCATTGCTGTTAATATTTACTGCGGGGTCCCTTGTGAGACAGGGAGGGACCTTCCTTCTGCACATCCCACCTGTGGGTCTCTAGTGGCAGTTGGACTACCTCCGTTCAATATGTCCTTGCAGGTTTTTTGAGGAGGTCGGGAGGTTTTGGTGAAGCCACGTGAAACTCAGCTTGGGCGGTCAGCAAGGATGTTGCAAGGACTCGATCCCTTGGGTCCTTAGTGCTGTCAGCCCTTGCAAGGAGCAGAGACCTTGCACCACACTAGACCTGGCCATGTGGTGCCCATGGGTCCCAGCTGTGCCCCTGTGGGCTTGTATGGTGGCTGAGTGGCCCTCTCCCAGCCTGCTCCATATGGCACTGCGTGCGTTGGTGGCACTCAGCTGGATTCACCCATGATGATGGTTTCCAAGTGCAGAGCTTGTGGCTGAGCTCTTTCAATCAGGAGTGGAGAGAGAGGTCTGCAGGAGCAGAGGCATCTCTCACCTAGTGAGAAGAAAAAAGTCCTCTAGCTGGAATGCACTCTCTAAAACCACTGCCTTATAGGAAAGGGATACACCTGAAGTGGGTTTTTGGCTCCTTGTAGCTGGTGTCTGCAAGGTTAGAACTGTAGTGAGGTTCTCCCTTAACGGGGATGTACCTTATTGCTTGCAAATTCAGAAGGTTTGCAGCTCATTTAAGGAGAACGGTAATACAGTGGAAGGACTGATGACATCTACCCCTTCTTGTGTGTCTATATGCAGTGGAGGCCACTGCTGTGAGGGTGGTGACGGCTTCAAAACTGTGGGTAATTAGTGTGTCCGCAAGGGCCTTGAGTATTTTCTCCCTCGTGTTGGGGCAAATTGCTTGTTAGCATCAGCAGTTAATAAGCAACGAGAAGGTCTCGTCCTGCTTTGTTTTCGTGTGCTTTGTGGTTAAGGTGAACTGGACTAAGACAGCTGTATTTAATGTGTCCCGAGTAACTCTGAAGATAGGCGAGTTTGGAGGGGAGCTGAAAAAGGATATTAAGCAAGTTTCCCCTCCTTGCACAAGTTAGATCATCCTTTGAGCTGGGCAAATTATGAAACCAATTAGAATTCCCAGAAGCAGCATCACATCAAGTCAGATATGATTTCTTAATCCAAATTACAAACTTATCACCACTAAAGCAGGGTAAAATGATGGGGTAAAAGCAGTGTCCAAAGGACATTTCTTAACTTTGGTATTGCGCGGGGAGGACCCTGTGCCAGGCCGGCTGCAAGGCGCTCTCCTCCGCTCCGCGGCGTCGCGGGCGCTGCGGGAGGCCGTCCGACGGGACGCGGCGAGGCGCTTTGAAGAGGCATTGCTCTGTGAAATATAGATGACAGCGCTCCTGTACGGCGTGACGAGGAAACGTCACTTACTGAGCACGTCCTTACACCCGTGTGCTGGGAGAGCGTCCCTGGAAATACTCAGTATTTTAGTATTTGCTTTGCAGTTTGCTGGCGCGCATCAAGGCCAGGTACCTTCATTTTAGCACGCGAGGAGGACAGGGCACGTAGGGCCCTGCAGAGCTGGGGTGCGACATGACTTGGATCCAGCTCCAGATTCCCAAGGAGGGGCTGGAGCCTCCTGGTCCCGTTCCCAAGGAGCATGTCCGGCCTCTCCGGGAAGCCTGGGAGATGCTCTGGTGCCTTCAGAGACAGCGTGTGCGAAACGCTCGCAGCGTTGGCTCAAAGAGACCAGGCAACGGTGACACCCGGCAGAGTGTGCAGCAGGAGCCTCTCCGTAATTACAAACACGAGCATCATTTTTTCATCACAGCGGGGATCACTTTTAACCTTGTTAGTTACATTTTGCATTAAAAAACAGCCACCGCCACCCAGCAACTTAACGCATCCCTCTGTAGAAAAAAAAAAAGTGGCTAAATGAGGTTTTTGCGAAGCCCGTGGCACGCGTGCAACGTGAAATAGCAGCGCTGCAGTGTGTGGCTTTATTAGCTGAGCTGGGCAGAATTGTTTTCTGAGCCGCCTTGATCCTCGGCGCTGATTGTGAACTGGGCCAGAAATTATTTATTAGTCCTCAGGAGCCTTCAGACAGAGCAGAGCTTATTCGGAGAGAAGCCCCGTCAATCCTGTGGGCGTCGATGCCGCTGCGCTCGCAAGGGAGCGGCGGGCAAGTGGATTTCGTGCTAGGCAGCAAGCGTTGGGGGAAGTCTTCTGGCAGTGATACGTGTGTGTCGCCCTGAAGGATTTACGTGCTTGTAAAGTATCTGCAGGTAGTTGAAAATAAACTTCACGTGTAATGCAGGCCAATGTTCTCCGATTTGGAAGGAAAGATGAGCTGACTCTGATCTCATGGAATCCTTTGGGGGTATTCCTAGATGGGCTGCTCTGGGTCCAAGTGGAAGAATGGAGAGATGTGGTGGTTGATTTTATTTTGGCTGATCTTACCAATTATGCCTCCAGTCAGTGTTTTGCTTGTATTAATACAATGCAGAAGCGGGAATGGCTCCAGAAAGGCTCCTGTGCCCATGTTTTGTATTATGTAGTGCCCGTTTCAAAAAGTGGAATATATTCAGATTTATTTGCTTGCAGATAAGAAGTGCCAATGAGTTTTGGTAAGGAGTAAAAAACCTAGGCAAAAAATCCTTGTCTTGTAGAAAGGTTTAAGCGGCGTTGCTGTTACGACAGGCAGAAAGATAGAGTGAAAAAACTAGGCAAAAAATCCTTGTCCTCGCCTTGTAGAAAGGTTTAAGCAGCGTTGCTGTTACGACAGGCAGAAAGATGCGTGGGCAAAACGCACATGGAAAATGCTGCTTCTCTGTTTTCCTCATCCACTGCTGTCGTTGCATGATGCATGGCAGTCTAAGAGACCCATCAGAGCTGTAATTCTGGAGTAGCTTTGAGTTGGGCTTTGAGATTGACAACTGAGTGCTGTAATCTTGCAGGATACCTTCTGAAAACTAGCTGTGCTGAAGTGGGGTTTCCTAACTGATCTGTAACTTCTCCATGCTGTGTTCTGAAAAGAGTTGTGGAAAAACAATGCTCCTTTTTTTCTTCTTTCACTGTTGTCTTGCTCTGATTTTGTGGTGCACCACATTAGAGATGGCTGTGAAGAGGAAGGGGGGAAACTCCTTTTTTGCTGAACGCGGCGCGCGAGCTAGCGCGTGATTCCTGTTACCGTTCCCTGTATCCCTGCACACAAGCCTCGCTCCCCTGCTGACTGCTTCCCCTCTGCTCTCTCTCAGTGTGCGCTGGCACCGAGAACAAGCTGAGCTCCCTATCCGACCTGGAGCAGCAGTACCGGGCGCTGCGCAAGTACTACGAGAACTGCGAGGTGGTGATGGGCAACCTGGAGATCACCAGCATTGAGCACAACAGAGACCTCTCCTTCCTGCGGGTGAGTTGCCTTCTTCCTTCCTTCCCATTTTCTGCATTTTTGGAAATAGCTATGGATGGAGAACTACGGAGCCTTTCCTGTGGGTGCCCATAGCCTGCAATGGCAGAGGACACAGAAACGACACAGGTGTTAAGGGTCAGTAGGGGCCATCCAGTCATGTTGGCTTCTCTGCAATGGTTACTCCAACCTCTTTTTTTGAGCAGTAGTGTTTTTTACCTGCACCTGCCTTCACAGGTGTCTAGGCAAAAAGTAGAGCTTAAAACCCAATAAAGCTGAGGTCTAGTTAATGTGATGAATTGTCGTCATTAAAATAGAAAAGCAAACGGAGGAGAACGTGTTTCTCCGTATTCTTGGTGAGGCAAATAAATAAACGTTGGCATATTTACACCGATAATTCAGCATTCATTAGTTAGATGTTATTACTTGTTTTATTGTCTTAAAAGTGAATTTAATGCCCAAATGAAGGTGGCAGATGGGAGATAACCGACAGAAAGGTCGTTTGTCTCTCTAAGACGTGGCGACCTTGCAGTGCACCGTGATGCTCTCCATTTTTTGGCCTGCTCCATTTTTTGCTTTACTTGTTTCCGTGGTGATAGTTGCCCTCTTTGCCACCAAATGGACCGCAAGTAGGTGGCCGATGTCCTGCTGTCCAGGGGGTGGTGGTTTCTCCATCCTGCCTTTGAGTTCATGGGAGCTTGGCTGGACAAACTTATTTGGATCTTGTGCGGGGCAAAAGGTGCCAACGTGAGGGCTCGTTGGCGAAGCTAAACGAGATGGTCCTGCTGGTGCACGTCTGGAGCCCTGCCAAGGCAGGGCCCTGAGCGTCGGTGCCTGTTTGGGTTTCGGCAGCGATGCTAAGAGCAGATCTCTGCTCCACATTGTGGCCGCCTGCTCCGAGCAGGCGCAGGAGCCTGGGCCAGTTTGACGTAGCAGGACTGACAGTTGCACTGTGCACTTGTTTGCGTTTCTTAATAGTATCTCTGTATTCAATTTTCTAAATGAAACGCACAATTAGTATACCACAAAACAGTCATTTACAAGCACTCATGTTCTGTTAAACACATTTGGTAAATGAGAGTTATCTTAGCTTAATCCTCAGGCTTTTAACAATTCATGGCCAGTAAAATGTTGTCTTGTCACTGGGTTTTATTTAACCAATTATTTATTTCTGAAGACATGACCTAACATAGTTAACCCTAGCATCCCTGCTCGTGCCACCTCTGTCCCTACGCGAGCCCTGACAGCAACATGGACCCAGCACGTGGCCCTGGCCACCCCAAGTGCCACTTTGGAAAGTGTGACTTAAAAACACTCCAAGTGGCTGCTCTTCCGCTCGAATTAAACTCTCAGCTCCCACAAAACAAACACAGAAGTGAATTAATACACAATTAATCCTTGAGCCGGGTTTGCCCAGCCGTAACCAAATATATGTGCATTAGCTATTGCCCCATTAATTTAGCAGTTATTTTCGGCGGGTTCTGTGCGAACGGTACGGTTGGAAGTAGCGGGCTGTGTTTGCAAGGTGCTGCGTGGGCACAGGCTCTCGGCGCTGCTGGGAGTCGCCTCCCTCTTTGCAGCGGTTTCTTCACATGGAATTTGTGACTGCTCTGCTGTTGATACGTGAGCTGGCACCCTGGATAGCAGGGTCCTTCCCCTGCCACCCACTGCTTGCAGAGACCTGGGACGAGGCCCCGACAGAGCCGTATTCCCCCTCTGTGTCCTGCCTGCTGCCTCCCCGCTCCTTGCAGCTCGCATGCCACGTTGTGAAGCCTTCACGTCCTTCAGGAGGGAGGAGAGCAGGCTGGAGATTGGAAGTCCAGGCTGATTAAGGAGTCTCTTTAAATTGTCTCTTAGCTCTTTGCTGTCCGTTCCCGTTGTGCTCCCCGCCAGCCGCCCAGCACGGCCTGTCTGATTCGCGTGCGTGCCGGTGATACCAACCCTTCAGCAGCACCGAGATAAAAGGGCTCTCTCTTCAATTATTCACGGAGACTCAAACCCCTGCACATGCTCAAAATCAGTAATATCCTCCTCGCTGGCCGCAGGACTTCTGCTTCAGTGCTTGGGGCAAAAGCTGCCCTCTGCCGTGCCCAGGAGACCACGGGGAGGTGGCAATGGCCCCCAGTGGATCCCGGCTCATTCTCCGCTCCCCATGGCTCGGTCTGTGCCATCCTCTGCCCCGCTCTTTCATGGAGAACTGAGGCAGCCTGTGGAGATGTTAGTGGTAGGGGAAGGCGCTGGCCCTGTCTGCAGTCCCCTCTGAGCATCCTGGCAGCTCAGCCAGGAAAACCTGCCTTTTTCCCCTTGAAGAGTTCCGGCTCCATCAGCTCCTGCCTTCCTCCCCATAATACACGTGGGTTTAAGCCCAAATCCAGAACTCGTTGTGGTAGGTGCCGTAAAACAGCTTGTAGTGGGTGCAGATCGTTATTAAAAATAAAACAGTGCAAACCTTCTTAATTAGGTGTTGTTTCCTTCAGAAGCAGATCTTGCCTCTAGGCAAATGATACCAATTAGGCCTTCCCTTTCAAGCGCTTGATGCTGTTAATGATCTTGCTCTTGTAAACACAAACTTTCTGCCCACCTCTACTTTGGAAGTGCGAGCCTAATTGGAGTCAGGCTAAATCAAACAGGAAAGGTAAATAGCCAACAAAAACCTTAGTAGTTGCAAATACTTTTAAATTATAAATGGATTTGTTAGCTTACAAAGCAAATGAGTAGTTTTCTTGAAAACAAGAGGGAGTGCAGTGAGGTTCCTGGTCTGGCCTTCGCTTTAGGTAGGAGTTGCACTAAACTCCACAATTTCAACTCTGTTCAGACACACTTGGCTCAGAGAAACCCCTGGTGCTATTGGGGCTTTTTTTGTGCACCCGCCCTCCCAAAGCCCTTTGAGGAACAGAGATGGTTGTTGGAAGTCAGGGGAGGCACAGTCAGGTATAGATAAGTACAGGTCTATATATGGATGTGGGGAAGCAGCCTGTGATATGGAGAAACCTCTTGCACATTGCTTTGAGTGACGTTTTTGTGTTTCTATGAGTATTTAAGGAATAAATTGCCAGGGTTGGTTGGTTTTCCCTCCCCCACGCCAATCCCTTCTTATTATGGATTAAACCAAAATTCAGCATAATTGTGCACTGCGATGTCCTGACTTTGCAGTGCGGGATCCGTGGCCTTGAATTGCGCTTAAAAGCTGGGCCAAGGGCAAGGCCTCCTCACCCGGGGAGGCTGTGCAAAGTTGAGTGGGGTGAGACCTCCCTGGTGTCAGATGCCATCCCTGGGAGGTCGCATGGAGGAGTTTTGGGCTCAAACAATGAGGGTCTGGTACAAGGGAGTGCATGTGCAGGTGGCAATGTGCGGACGGTCCCATTGACTTCTGATACTTGTACCTGAGGTTAGGCAGGAGGTGAGTAGCGTTTGCTGAGCACTTAACCTCTGGTACCATTGCTTTGGTCCCTTTGGCGGTGAATAGCTCCAGCAGAGAGGAGCAGTGAAGCCATGTCTGAGGTTAAGTAGGAGATGAATAGCGTTTGCTGAGCGCTGAACCTCTGGTACCGTTGCTTTGGTCCCTTTGGCAGTGACTAGCTCCAGCAGAGAGGAGCAGTGAAGCGCCTTGAGGTGCGAGCTGAGCACATGGACCTTGGCCTGTCAAAAGAAGAGACAGTAGCAGCACGCTGATCTTGACAAACCTGCATTTTGGGGTAGCAAGGATAATAGTGACAGCTTAATGATGCTCCTTAGCAGGAGACGATACCAAAACTGTTTTTTTTTTCTTTTCTTTTTTTCTTTTTTAAGGGAGTTTATGTTCATACTTTAAGAAAACAACCTTAAGCCCAGGACAGACAGGAAACTGTGAAAGTGTCATTCAGCTTGAACAGGGGGAGGACATGGCCGAGCAGGGTCAGATCCAAGGTCCATCTGGTCCAAGAGCTTGAATGGTGGCTTGAGCTCAACCCTGTGACTCATCTTAGTTTCTGAGGCTTTGAGATTGAGGCAGATCCTAAGTGCCAAATCAGTAGCAGTAAAATATTATAACTTGTTTTATCATCCTGGATAATCGTGGTGATTATGGAAGCGCATCCCTGAAAAACTTGATCCTGTGGTCACGAGGCCCCTGGGATCACCATGGAGGACCATCTGCAAAGCGTCAACCAAGAAACCTGTCAAAACATAGTTGTGAGCACACTGAATGAGGAAGCCCAAGATGTGGGATGTTCCTTCAAGGCCGTTTGATACTGGCATTGCTAGGTTATGGATAGGAAGATGTCTTGCGTTTGGAACGTGACTTCTGAAAACACAATCCCCCAAACCTGGATTTATTGGCTTACATTCCAGAAAGGGCCAGAAGGCAGGGAGGAATGAGAGGAATGGCAAGGCCTAAGCCATCCCCCTGCTATAAATCAAGAGCAACAACCCTGTGTAATACATATCGCAGGAACAGTAATGTCAGCTCATCCTTCAGAGTGTGGAGTGAAGGCCGAGGAAAGGAAAATCTGTAATGGCTATCAAAAAATTAATGGCTGTCTGCATAAAATCATGGAATAACATTTTCAGGAAGCAGAAGATGTTAGCAGAGTCCTTTCAAATCCATCTATCTGTGGTAAGGAGCAGTCCTGATAAAAACATGCCTTGTCAGGTCTTGGATTTCTGTCATTTTTAAGATACTGTCGTGGGGCTTGAGGAGTCGCTCCTTGAGCCAGTTCTCTCCATGAGGATATAATGAACTATTTTAGCAATAAAATTCTTATAGAGGAATAAAAGGTGGTTAAAAGGGCATTTATTTCTGGCACTGCCTAAATTTGGCCCTATCTGGGTAGCACCAAAATTGTTCTAAACTCATCATATGGAAATGTGTGGGTACAGCCTGTCAACGAGCGATGCTCTTTATGGGAATGAAAACCGGGTCATTGCAAAGGAATTGTTTTTGTACAGTCTTTTCCCACTGCCAAAAAGCCATTTCTGTCCACTGCTGTCCCCCAGATAAATGAGAAATTTTGGTCCCCGTCCTG